GAAAGAGTCCAAATTGCTGCTGATCATCTTGATGGAGAAGCAAATGTATGGTGGCAATGGATCTTGCACAAAAATCATGGTGAGCACATGCGTTGGAGAGACTTTGAGAAGGAACTTATCACGAGGTTTGGTTCGAGTGATTACCTTGATTACGATGAAGCTTTGTCTCGAATTAAACAAAGTGGTAGCTTGCGAGAGTATCAAAAGGAGTTTGAGCGCATTGCTAGTAGGGTGCGGGACTGGCCCGAGAGTGCACTAGTGGGAACCTTTGTTGGAGGGCTAAAGGCTGAGTTAGCAGCAGAGGTGAGGTTGGATAGACCAGGATCGATGCGAGCAGCCATGGATTTGGCTAGATTGCATGAGGATCATCTCGTAGCAGTACGAAAAGCGAGGCCGAGCGACGTGCGCACGGAAACTAAGCGCACGCATGCTGCGATTGAGGAACAAGCGGCGCGAACCGAGAACAAGCCATTGGGCGATACTGTGCGCACAACGAGCCATATACGGCGGCATACTGACGATGAGATGCAGCGACGACGAGAAAAAGGCCTTTGCTATTCGTGCAATGAAAAATTCACGCCAGGACACAAGTGCAAGGGTAAGGAAGTATTTTTGTTAGAAATTGAGGAAGGTTATGAGGAGGAAAAACCACAAGAGGAGTCCTTGTGGCATATGGTTAAGAGCAAGAAGCGTGGTCCAAAGATGATCACATTCACGACTGAAATTAGGGGTAAATTTGTGGAAGTATTGGTTGATAGTCGGTCTACGCTAAACTTCATTGATGAGGAGCTGTCCAAAGAGATTGAGATTCCATTCACCAAGGTAAAACCTTTTGGAGTCAAAGTAGCAAACGGAGAAACACTCCGACGGGATATTCTCTTCAAGGGTGTAAAGATGGAGGCTCAAGGTCAAAACATGAGAGTGGATTTATATGCCTTGCCATTGAAGGCGACAGATATAGTACTTGGATGCCAGTGGTTGGAGACTCTTGGTCCAATCACAACTGATTATTGGAAAGGAACCATGGAGTTCGGGAGATCGAGTAAGAGGGTCAAGTTCAGGACTGAGGATCCAGGCGAGTCACCTGACGAGGATGAAGAGGATGGTCGTGTTCGGAAGTTGAATTTTCTTATCCTTGGGGACAAGGAAAGACTCGAAGAGGAGGGGAATGATACGGAAGTGGAGGTTAGCGCCTGCGAAGTTAGTGGAATTGGGAAGCTAAAATGCGAGAGGGGCGCATCGGACCTTGATGCGCATGGTTGGGCGAACAAGCGACGCACGCGGGTGGCAACGGGTGCACGTGGTTGCGCCGTAGGCGAGTTGGTCACTGGCGGTAGCGGGGACGCGCACGTGAGGACTGGCGGTAGTGGGGCGCGCACAAGAGCGCGCAAGTGGAGCACAAGCGCGGGCGTCTGAGACCGAGCAGGCATAGGAGTGAGGGGCGGAAGCAAGCACGCGCGCGAGGAGTTCGGACAGGGAGATAGGCGCACGATGGCGTGCGAGTGGACCGCATGCGCGGGTATAGGCCTATGCACGGTAGGCGTAGGTGAGGAGTGCTGGCACGCACGCGCGGGGGATAAGGCGGTGGAACTGGGCACGCGCGTGCGACGCGTGGAGGGCGCGCGACGTGAGGTGGCCGAAGGGATTTGGGAGCAAAAGACTTGGAGCTTCTAGATTTGCTTGGTGTGCAAGTCAAGCAATTAGTATTTTGGTAGTAGTAGGATTTTATTTCCTTATTGCTTTTATTTATTAGTAGTAGAAGATGTTAGGAGATTTACTCGCATTAGGATTTATTTTATTGCATGAATTAGGATATCTAGATCTATTATTTTTTTCAACTATAAATACCCCATGTACCTCATCATTATTTTATGTCTTGGAATGAAGTATTGAATTGATGAGTCAATTTAGTGAGGGGATTTTTATGTTCTAACGTGTGATAAGCAAGGCCATAGTGTGTGTTTACATACAGTGTCAGAGAGAAGGCCATTAGAGCGTCTTGAAGTCACAGTGTCTAGGAGAAGGCCGAGTGTGTCTGTTAGATACACCTATCATGAGTAATCGAAGGCCCTGAGTGCGCGAATATTCACAACCCCCGTATAGAATAAAAATACGATAAGTCATCAGCACGACACAACGCGCGCGAGGAGGTCGACGAGGGAAGGGCGTGCGCGATGGCGCGCAAGTGGGGCGACGCGGACAGAGGCCTACGTTGGGAAGGCTTAGGCGAGGCAGATGGCACAAACGCGAGCGGAGGCCCAACCCTCGTAGGCTTATGAATTATGGGCGCACACGCACGAGAGGAGGGCGGCGGAGACCGAGCGCGCGCGGAGGTGCACGCGTGCGAGACCGACGAGGCGCGCGATGCCTCGTGCGCCAAGGAATAGGAATACGACCGAACGGCGGCGCGCGCGACAAGGGGGTTGGGATTAGGGTCGGCCGAACTTGGAGTGCAAGCAAAGAGACTTGGAGATCAAGTCTATTAGCTTAAATAGGACTTTAGTATATTTAGTTTCCTTATTGCTTTAGAAGATGTTAGGAGATTTTTTATTGCTTTTAATTATAGAATTAGAAGATCTAGTTTGATTAGGCTTAGATTTATTTTATGCACCTATAAATACCCATGTACCTCTTCATAATTGAAGAACCAGAAAATTGATGAGTGAACAGAAAAGGGAACTTGGTGTTCTAACGTGTGTTAAGCAAGGCTGTAGTGCGTGTTTACATACAAGTGTTGGAGAGAAGGCCATTAGTGCGTCTTGAAGTCATAGTGTCTAAGAGAAGGCCCTGAGAGCGTCTGTTATTCACACCTATCGTGTGTAGTCGAAGGCCCTGAGTGCGCGATTACTCAGAACCAAAATAGACAAAAACCGCGATCCGTCATCATTGGTGCTCTCGTTGAGAGATGCTGATCAAAATTTTTGTCTATCTATCTTTTTTCGGTTTTTACCTTTTGTTGAGGGGGCCGAATTTTTCCTTTTTGTTTGATTTTTTTTATCGAATTTTTTGTTCTTTTTCTTCATTATTTTCGTGAGTCTAGGGTATTAAAAAAAAAGTGTCATCCTAGTAGTATTGTTATTTTACATAGAGTCTTAAAAAAAATGAGAGACATGAGATTCGAACCATTAGATGAGTTGGATCAAGAAGATCTTGAATATCTCGAGGCTTGGAGAGGGAATTAACTCCATGGGAGCAAGAGTTTTTGGAGGAGCTTCACAAACAAAGAGATTGGGAGGAGCGTGAAAGACAACTCGTGAAAGCAAAGGATGCTGAGGTGGTCGAATTTCAGAACTATGTTGATGAAGGTGCGCTAAATTTCATTATCCTTGAGGACAAGATGTAATACCCCATATTTTTAGTAAGTCAGTAAATCAGTAGAAGTTATTCAGTAAATCGGTAAAAGTTATTAATAGTTTATAGATGATAAGTAAATTATTTTCAAGATTAAGTTAGTATGGTTTTTACAAGAGAAAATATCAGAATCTCAAAGTAATTATGAAAAAAAAAAATCAAAAGCAAAAGAGAGAAATCGAATTTTTTAGAATTTTCGGTTTAACGGTAATTGTTCGTTTTAAGTCCAAATTTGGTTCCATAAATTTTATTTTTCTTGTTTTTTTACCACATTATAAGATAATTATGAAGTATTATTTTTATTTTAAAATTAAGAGGTGAATATTAAGAAATGAATAAATAAATAAAGCATTAAATGATGTTTTGTCATCATTTTTACTAAAAAACTTTCTAAGTGTTTTTAAATAAAAATGGGGCCAATTTTTATATCAGCTATGGGAGCATTATTATCATCATTAATCAGCATATTTGTCCTATTTTAGAGAGTATTTATGAGCCATCAAAATCATATTTTTATATGAATTCAAGTTAAGTTGTTATATTAATTTCTAAGCAAATTTGGTGAGGAGTTTTATCAACAATGAAGAGCTCTTATGCCTATAAATAGAGGGCCTTAGAATCAGATTTTAGAAGC